GATTTGCTTAAGTCAGGTTTGTGTAACCCGGGGGGCGTCTGTAGTACATTTTGTAGTGGTTGTGTTTTTTTTTTTTTGTTTGTTTGTTTTTTTTTTAATCCAGTCGAATTCTAAAATGTGTTGAGTGCTGTGTCTTCCCTTTTCTTGTGAGATGATTCCACAGCCCAATAGATCTTAGGCTTTGTCTACACTACAGAATTATATCGACCCAAGTTAGGTTGCCGTACAGCCACCACAGTAATTACTGTGGTTTTTCATGTCTGCACTACCCTCCTTCTGCAGGTGATGCATGTCCTCACTAGGAATGGTTGCAACAACTTAAGTGGGGTAGTGTGGGGGCTGTCAGCCCCACTGCAGGGCTCACCCCTGCAGGCCTTTTCCCCCCTGAGGGGCTCATCACTGCAACCCCCCACCCTACCCGCTGCCACGGGGCTCACCGCTGCAGCCACCCTCCCACCCCACAGCCACCATGGGCTGTCCCTGTGTCAACTTAATTCTGTAGTGTAGACCAGGCCTTATTGTTAAGCTTTTCCTGCCCTATCACTTACATTTATTGTGCATACTTCTAGTGTGTTTTCAGACCTTTGGATTGGTGCATCTTATAAATTGCCATAAGATTCCCTTTGCGCAGTCTCTTCCCGGCCTTCTCTTCACATACTTGTGGGGTGTTTCTCCTTCCCCCTCTCCCCACCACAATCCTCCTTTAGGGTTTAGGCAAGTTGCATGGTTTTAGCTTTTTTCGTCTTTCCTCAGGAGTCTGTCTCATTTGCCCCTAATTATTTTGGTTGTTAAATTCACTTACAGCAGTTCAAACCAAAGCACCTAATGGATTCTCTAAAACCACATTTAAAGCATTCATAATACTGTTTTGCTTCAGGTTTGTTCAACAGCACTGAGCTCTCATAGCCTTTCCTGGGAAGGTTGCATGCTGAAATCTTTGCCTTTTTGCAGTTGGCTATATTGTGCAATTCAGTTGTCAGGTATTGTTGCACTGTGCTTCTCCAGTGCTAGCAGGAACAAAAGGTGGAACAGTCAGAGCCTCTTTTCTTTCTTTACAGAGAGCAAGCCCCATACTTTGTTCTTATACTCATTTTTGGTTGTTTGCCAGGAGGGCTGCAGTAGGCTTTCCTTCTATTGACCTTCATGTTAAACAGACTTGATAGTATTTCCCCTCAAGGCCCGCTGACTCCCTCTGTACCAAGCTTATAGAAAGAAGTGGGTCTGCTTTAAACGTAGGATGCAAAACACTGTATCCTGTCCAAGGACAAACCTGCCACTGGGAAATCACCATCAAACACACACAGTCTACTGAGGGCTGGTCCACACTGGGGCGGGGGATCGATATAGGAAACGCAACTTCAGCTACGAGAATAGCGTAGCTGAAGTCGACGTTTCCAATATCGAACTAAAAGTACTTACTTCGGGTCCACGCGGCGCAGGCAGGCTCCCCCGTCGACAGCGCTTCCTCCTCTCGGCAAGCAGGAGTTCCGCAGTCGACGGGGGAGAGCTTCTGGGATTGATCTATCACGTCCAGATGAGACGCGATAAATCAATCCCAGAAGATCGATCTCTACCCGCCGAATTAGGCGGGTAGTGTGGACCAGCCCTGAGGCTATGTCTTCACTAGAAGTGCTGCAGCTGTGCAGCTTAGTGCCGCCGTGTAGACACTCACTTCACCAATGGGAAGGGTTTTCCTGTCACCTCCCCAAGAGGTGGTAGCTAGGTCAACAGAAGAATTCTCCCCTTGACTTAATGCTGTCTACACTGGGGGTTAGGTTGGCTTAACTATGTTGCTTGGGGGTGGATTTTTTCACACCCCCAAGCCACGTAGCTGGGTTGACCTAACTCTTGAGAACCATTGCCCCAGCCAGAGAGACTAGAGTTGATAGCTTCTTACCAGGCATTGTAGAGTTCAGTTCCCATATCTGGCTCAGTCTGCAAATCCACAGATCTCTTGGTGACACCAAGGTCAAGTGTCAACTGGGGAATGCTCTACCTAATTTAATGTATTTCTTCCATAACTCTCTCCTTTCTAAGGAAAATGCAAAAAACGTGGAGATGGTTTGAAACTGGAGAACGACCCTCAGGAGGTGAGCCACCTTTGAGATGCAAATATGTCTCCCTGTTGTTTTTGTTAAGTGATTGCATGTTGTCAGCTGTCAATCTCTTGTGTAAAAATTCGGATGTAGTTTGCACTCATATCTGCATTCAGGGAGATCCAGCTGACCTGTCGGCCACAACTTGCTCCCAGTCTGAGGCGCTAGGCTGCCCCAGCATGTTTTTTCTTCCAGTGCATTGCACTGAGAGTCTGACCCACTGCAGCAATTCTGGCACAGTTTCCACCCTCCCTTTGGGGTGAAATTCCTCCATTGTTCACTGTGTGGCATTGTATCTGTTGGGTTATGATGACAAAAAGGAGATAGAACCAGCACAGGGAGACCAAGGTTCCTTTCCAGGGTTCGTCATTGACTCACTGTGTGATCTGAGGCAAATCACTTAACGTGATGCCTTAGCAGATCATCTGTACAGTAACTCCTCACTTAAAGTCGTCCCACTTAACGTTGTTTCGTTGTTACGTTGCTGATCAATACTCATTTAAGTTGTGCAATGCTCCACTCTTACGTTGTTTGGCTGCCTGCTTTCTCCACAGCTGGCAGCCTCCCCACGCCCCTTCCCCTCCCCCCAGCGCCTCCTGCCCGCCGGCAGACCCCGCGGATCAGCGCCTTCCCCTCCTCCCCCCGCCTCCTGCCCGTGGCAATCAGCTGGCTTGCGGTGTTTTGGAGGCAGGAGGGAGGAGCGAGGACTCCGTGCGCAGGCTCCCCCTGCCTCCCGAACGCAGCAAGCCAGCTGATTTTCCCGGGGCAGAAGGGAAGGGGGAGGAGCGAGGACTCGGCACACCTTCCCCCTCCCTCCCCTGCCTCCCGAATGCGGCAATCAGCTGGCTTGCGGCATTTAGAAGGGAGGGGGGAGGAGGAGCCAGGATGCAGTGTGCGAAGTAAAGGGAGAGGAAGGGGAGGGGGGAGAAGAAGCGGGTCAAGGGTGGGGGCTTGGGGGAAAGGGTGGAGTGGGCGGGCTGAGGGTTGAGCCCCCCAACCCCTGGTGCTTGCAGAGTAGGGGAAACTGCCCTGGAACCTAACCCCCCCTCCCCCCATTTACATTAATTCCTATGGGGAAATTGGATTCGCTTAACATCGTTTCACTTAAAGTCACATTTTTCAGGAACATAACTACAACGTTAAGTGAGGAGTTACTGTACAATGGGGAAAATGATCACTCACCTTTTTTAAGCATTTTGAAATCTGCTGGTGGAAAGGGAAGTATTACTGCCAAATATTGTAATGGGAGAAAACTGAAGGGAGCGTATGCCCTCTTCACAGCAGCATTGCTGTTGTGCACGACATGTATACACATGAAGACAGAACATGTGATGCCTGCCTCCCCAGACAGCATTTTGACGCTAGGTGCACTTACAGAGCTTCTTTAACAAAAATCCCATTGTGTTCCCCTTTCAGGAAAGGGTGGTTTGAAGTCTCTGCTCACTTATTCTCTTGTAATTCTTTAAGTACTTCGTTGTTCTTGGTCATGTGATGGTGCCCTGCAGGGCCCAGTGAATGAGAAGTATCCCACTTTGTGCTCTTTAACCATTCTGTTGAAATCAGTGGGCCAATATGGTTGGTCTACAGAAGGGGTTAATTCGTTCCCAATCTAGTGACTTCCCTGCTGGCACATAGATAGAGAGACTCCCTCTGATTCAGGTGTTTCTCCCATGAAATGCTCAGTCATAAATTCTAAGCCCACATTCCAAGTGTGAAGCTATGTATGAAAGCAAATCATACAGCTGTTGTGCAATTAGAATGGAGGGTAATTTTACCTTAAAATGTAGCCATGCTGTAGGTACAAGACTGTAATGGGACCCTGCAAATTTGCAATTAGGACTGCAAATACTGAATTTTGAAAACAATCTTAATGCGGTAAAATGTACTATTGATAAAAATCAATACTGCTGCTAGAAAATGCCAGTATCACTACAGAGGGGAGGGAGGTGCAGCCAGGGCCGGCTCCAGGCACCAGCTTAACAAGAAGGTGCTTGGGGCGGCCAAGAGAGAGGGGCGGCACCTGCGGCAATTCGGGGGCGGCAGGTCCCTCACTCCGTCTAGGAGCGAAGGACCTGCCGCTGAACTGCCGCCGCCGATTGCGGCTTTTTTTTTTTTCTTTTTTCAATTGCCGCCGTCGATCGCGATTGCGATCGCGGCTTTTTTTTTTTTTTATTTTTTTTTTATTTTGCTTGGGGCGGCAGAAATGCTGGAGCCGGCCCTGGGTGCAGCAGAAGACACTCTATGGCTATGCAGATCGGCAGTGCACAGCACAGCAAACATTCAGGTTTGGAAAGGAACAAAGAAAGAGAGTTGCTTTACTCTAGATATGTTTTGCCTATTGTACCTGTCGCTGTCTATGGAATCAGCTTGTCAAGAGGGGATCTGGGCTGATGAGCTGAAGAGGAGAATGAGATTGCAAGTGCTAAAATACTCCGGCTCTCTTTAATCAAAGACTTGGCTTTTCACAGAACGCTGGCAGCTCTCAGATCCCGCTCCTTCAGGCGGTGTAAGCAGTGAACTCTTTGAGAAGCCTTGTTCAAGTGATGTAAAATCCAGTGGTGCTCTTTTGTGTGGAAATGCTCCCGTTGGAAACTTTGGGACTCTTCATTATACTGATTGTTTTGCTTACAGTCTGAAGCAGTAAGAGCTGGAGAATTTACGGTTTGTGTCTTTGTTTCCAGGCAGAGTCCGAGATGGCTCTGGATGCGGAGTTTCTTGATGTGTATAAAAACTGCAATGGAGTAGTGATGATGTTCGACATCACCAAGCAGTGGTAAGAGAGGAGCAGTGATATAGGCAGCTTGAGCCTTGCTTGTTTAATCAAAACAAATGATCTTTAGATCCTGTGATTTCTATACACATAACAGTCCAATGAGCGGAAACAGGTTCCTGGCACCTAAAATAATTTTGCTTTATTTTCTGGCCTGTTTTTAATCTATTCCCCTGTAAAACACAATTCAGATCTGTTCTAAACTAGCTGTCTCCCTCCATGTCCACTGATCTGTAATCCCCACTGTGCAGCAGACTGAGGGAAACAATTAGAAAATGCCTTTTGCAGATGGTGATGCTGAGCACCTCCAAAGGTAGATGACAAAGTGCCTACTCCAAAGAGCTTCCAGTCTCAAGTGTAGGCATAATATCTAATGGGAGCAGTGAAAGCTGGGAACAGGGAAGAGAGCCCAAAGGGAATAGGGAAATGTGTGTTTGTAAGTGCTCTGTGGACACAACTTGGGGCTTCATTTGTTGGGCTCTTTTTATCCCCTCTGCTAAGGGAGAGGAAACATGGAAGCAGGGATGGGAAGGGAAGGTGAAAGTGAGGAGTGCAGGGGTGGTAGGAACTGGGGAAGAGGAAAACAAATAGAGTAGTCCTGGTGTGTCAGGGACATTGGCCCAAACTACTACCACTGACGCCTTCAGCTTACAAGGGAGAATTGCTGTCCTTCGGCTGAAAAGGTGCCATGAACCCCTACGGGCAGTAATACATGCAGCCCTAATGGGAGAGGGTTACCCATTGCTGGAACTCTCTTCTGTAGACCTCACCTCCAGATGCAGTGTGGTTTGGTATGCTCTTTAATTTCATTAGAGCTCTTGGCAGACTTCTGCACTCCAGCACTTCAAAATAAATGAAGGACGGGCACTAAAGCCATCTTACTCATCAGTATAATAGATCAGCCTGTCTAGACACTGTGATATAGATCATGCAACTTTAGACTCTCTGTATTGGTACAGCGTGTACTGGCTTGTATGTCTGCAAGATAGGGATACTTAAACACAATTTCCTTAGTAGGACAAGACAAAGAGGGGCCCTCCGTTAAAATGATAAACCTGAAGTGGATCAAAGGAAATATTTCTGTATATAGCATATAACCTGTGGAACTCACTACAACAGAGAATTGTCAAGGCAAATAGCTTAGAAAACTTGCTGATTCTATGTATAAGAATTGCACTTCCTATTCCTGAGGGTATTCTGCACCAAAAAATTAAAAATTCTGAGTACAGTATTTTAAAATTCTGCAAATTTTATTTGTCAATAAATAAATGTGGAGGCTCCAGCCTAGCAGTGAGGAGCACAGGCCTCTGGTTGCACTGAGGTGGGAGATCATCCTGCAGCCCCCCCACCCCCAAACAGGGACTCGGCGGTGAAGCTGCACCTGACTATGACACAGTGCAAGGGCCAAGCCTGCCCCAGAAACACCCCTGGGTTCTGCCCTTTCTGCATCAGGCGCACCAGGTGTTGGTGGGCAGGCAGGCTCAGCCTAGCAGGATCCAAGTGTAGAGGGGCTTAGTGTGGGGGATCCAGGTGTGGGGAAGAGGGTTCTGTGGGGGGGAGTCTGGGTTTGGGTGGCTCAGTGGGGGGATCTGAATTCACGGGGGTTCCAGGTGCAGGGGCAATGGGACTTTGCAGGGCGGTCCAGGTGAAAGGGGGTTGGGACTCAGCAGGGGGTGGTCTGGATGTGAGGGAGGTGGGGTTGGGGTGCAGCTGGTTAGGGCTCAGTAGGGTGGGTGTCTAGGGGGCTCATCAGGGTAGTCCAGGGGCAGTGTGTACACTATTGGGTGGGCGTTCAATGTACCTACTTAGTGGGGGAGCCCCAACTGCAGCTGCTGCTGAGGGGATGCCGCATACTGGGCTCCCGCTTCCCCCCCCACCCTGCTTCCCCATCCTATCCTCCTTCTCAACTGCCCCCTACCCCACCCTCTCCCCTATCTTAACCCCCTTCCTTTCCCACTGCCTCTTTCCTCCAGCCTCACCATGCCCCCCCCCTTGACCTTCCCCACCAGGGGCACTCACTATTCTACAGAAAACAGGATGGATCCCAGGACTCAGAAGGCGAGCACAACCGGCACTAGGAGTCAGGAGGCAGCATCCAGGCAGCTCTGCGCTCGCAGAAATTAAGGCAGGGGCAGGCAGTGGCACCTCGCCTGTTTTGGGGGCATTGCCCCTTCAAACTACACCCATGGGCATTCCCAGACCCACCCCCATCCCAGCGCAGATTCCCTGTCACTTTCTGCAGGGAAGCAAAGAAATCGGCAGTGGGGACATGTTTTCTTCCTGTGCACAGTGGTGCAGAATTCCCCCTGGAGTAACTTGTACTAGCTTTGATGAAAATAAGGGCATAATCCCAATCACCAACAGGGGTGAGGAGAATATTCTCCCTATCCTCACACAACAGTGCAGTGTAACCTTCTCCTATAATGTTTTATATGGGTCCCTGCTCAAGGTACAGGCCTGAGGTAGTTGGACTGTTTGCTTCTGAATGAATCTCTGTGAAATAACAATATTACCTCAGAATGTGTCTCAGTGTTGTCTGTAGGTGGGCCTCAGAGGAAACTCACATGTGAGATTTGTATTTTGGATTTTTCTGTTTGCTTTGCAACTTCTCTGACTATGTATGCTAGTTTCCATTGTGTGCATGTAAGCTGTAAATGTAATAATATTGCATAGAGTACAACTAACCCATCAAGTGTGTTCACACTAATTATTTGTTTCACCTTTTATTTGGTAAAGGACATTTAACTACATATTGAGGGAGCTTCCTAAAGTGCCCACCCATGTTCCAGTGTGTGTGCTTGGGAATTACCGCGATATGGGAGAGCACAGGGTCATCCTGCCAGATGACATGCGGGCGTTCATTGATAATCTGAACAGGTAAACAGGGATGGCACCATACTGGCTTTCTGGGAGAGCAGCACTCCACCCCTTCTTTTCCATGCAATCCAGCCCCCATTAATAGCATTGCTGTTATCTTCCAGACATGCGTGTGCCATTGAATTGCTCCCTTCCCTGATCATCCAAACCCCTTCTCATCCGGTTGGGTTTGATATCCCTGTATATTGTCGCTTTATACTGGGCTTTTTTCTCACTCTGTGGTGTTCTTACCGAACCTAAAAGGCCTGCACTGGTGGGGGGGATTCTCAGTTCCCAGAGCCAGTGAATATCAGTGAGAGTCCCTGTGGTGCAGGCCTTTCAGAACAGCTCTATCCAAATGGAATTGTACTTCAGCCCTTCCTTTTGGGCTGTCTTTTTTTTCTTGCTGAAAGATTTTGTATGTTACTTCCCCCCACACAACTGTTCCATGAGCACCCATGCTCCGAAACCAGCATAGTGCCGCTAGCCTTTTTTCCCTCTCTCCCGCACCCTCGAGATTGAGCCTCCCCACTGCAAGACTACATACAGATCCTGATCCCTTCCAGGCCGTCTCTCAACTGCCTGCCAAGCCTCTACTCTGGCATTGCTTTGAATCTGGCCACGAACTCTTGCTTTAATTATAGCTATTGCCCTTGTTGGGCAGGAATCGATCAATCCACCTCATCCTGCCTTTCTCCTTCTGAGAGTGGATTTTACAAAAGCTATTGTGTGTAACAGGTTTTCTTGCAAAGTCTCTCACTCACTCATGCCTACATCAGACATGTAGAAATGGAATCCATCACAAAGAATGGCTTTGCACCAGTTCTTTTACAGCCACGTTTATTCATGTTCTACACACCATTATCCAAGGTGAACTAATGTAACTTTAATACCCAGTGCTGAGGTTTTTAATGGCTTCATTTAGGTCCGTTTATAGTATTAGAAATAACGTGCTGTAAGAAATGCACTTGTACAGCTGTGAAATACTCGGTTCAGTAAACCACTGGCCTAGTGTCCCAGCAGAGCAGTTCAGACTGTCAGTTGCATGACACTATAGCACAACAACAGCTGCACGCAAGCCTTTCCCCACCAGCCTTCTAAAGGAGGAAAGAGTTAATTTGGCTCCTTATGAGCTGTAAACAAAATAATGAGCCCCCTAGCAGGATGAACTGTCAGCCTAAGTCTTGGGGTTGAAGATTTGCCTGGGAGATGAGGATTGCTCATGGGATAGAAGTCAGCACGTGCCTCTGCTGTGTGTGTAGTCAGTCGGTCTCTGTGTAATTTTCTTTTCTCTGCTCATCTGATTTGGAACAGACCTCCTGGCTCGTCTTATTTTCGATATGCTGAATCTTCCATGAAGAACAGTTTTGGCCTCAAGTACCTGCACAAATTCTTCAACATCCCATTCTTGCAACTGCAGGTAAGAGTCCGGGATTGACATGGTGCAGAGTGGGTGGGGAGAACTACCCTTTCCAAGGAACTCATGTGGGGATCCTTTTCCTGTAATGTTCTGCTTTTCAGTTGTTAAAGGAGCCTGGACAGATTGTTGCTTTCAGGAGAGTGTTGTTAACAAAAGTGACTGGGCATTTTGTTTCCCATGATTGCAACGTGTCACTGCTGGTGAAGTGCATGCTCTTCCTTATTTACCTAAGCATACTCTTATCAATGTATAAAGGTTCCAAGGGTCAGTACCATGCAATGAACAGGATGTGCAAGAATAAATCTGTACATTGCAGTGTTAATGGGCCACCAAGTCAAAATGGTATCTAAACTGTTACACACACACACACACACACACACACACACACACACACGTATTTTTGCTAGTATACAAACTTTTCTTAAATGTGGCCAATTAATTAAAACTCAATTAAGAAAATATCTACCAGTGAACTGAATGGCTTATGGGATGCATGAAGTGTCCTGATTATCTGCTGTACCCTCTCCATGGTCAGAAGACTTCAGCATCTTTCATCAGCACTACATTCACTTTAAAGAACACATTTTGTGTACATATATGTGTATCTAGAAGAACAAACATCGCTCAAATGCTCGTCCAGACTGACTAAAGCTCAGTTAATGTCTGCCATCAATTCAGTGGTCTGTAAAGCAAACACAGCAAAGAAAGAGAGACCTTGGTATAAAAACACAGTGAAATCCAGCTAGATAGTAAATTCTCGAAGGAGAAGCTGTATAAATCTGACACGTGCACTCATCTCTGCACTCAGTAGAGAATGTCCAAATCCCTAAAGCTACAGTCTGGTGGTACAGATATTTGGGGTTTGTAGCCTCAGTTTCTACAATAAAGTGCCATCCTGCCAAAAACCACGCAGAATAACCTGTTCCCACGTTACTGCTGGAGATGCACTCTTACAGGTCTCCCCTTTCTCCTCAGGTAGATCTGGAACACCAGCACGGGCTTTCTGCCAGCCTCACTGGGCTTCTGATCACAGTTCATAACGATACTCTTCACTGTCAATATGTGGAATGATTGTCTTAAATGGAGGCATTACCAGAAAGTGCTCACGTTTTTCATAGCTTTGTCTGTGCTTAACAGCTGCTTTAGTGAGAGGGGATCTTAAGGGACCTTTCATTTACATATGCTGAGAAAAAACAAACTTGATGTACATGATTTATGTAACTGAGAATTAAAGCAAATATGGCTCCTTAATAACAATCTTTAAACAATCCAGTGTAATAAAATAACTGAACCGACCAAAGAGGCAATTAATGTCTGATTACATGGAAGCTCAAAGAATATGATTTAGTCAGAGTCCCTGTGGGGCTAAGATTGAGTGGCCATTGCTCAGATGGGTGATGTGCTTAAGATGACCTACTTGCATTCCCAGTCTCCTCTGTTCACTAGAGAAGTCATCCAGTACAGTTCACTGAGCGTGGTGCTGGGTGCAGTTGGCTGCAGCAATACCTGAGACACAAATCCAGAGTTATGTATGAAGAGGTGAAACAAGTTAATGTTTTACCAGCTATTCTAGACTCTTTGCCTGAGCTGTTAGGTTCACACTGAGGGTGGGAGAGGATTCAAGCAGGATCCTGCTCTGTCACAAGGGCTAGAGGCAGGACTTTGATTGGCATACACACTTACATCATTGTTAGGTAAAAATGTATGCAGATATGTTTGGATCCTGCACTAAAAGCTTGCAGCTGATCAGCTTTGACCTCTCCCTGTCATTAAAAGGCTAAGATGGACAGACTCCAGTTGATGCCACGTTACGAAGGTACTTGGAATTTCACTTCCCTCGGCCCTGAATTTGTTTCTCCGTGCTTGTCAGAATCTGTCAGGCCACTGACATGCGCTCCAGCTACCTCTCACAAACATATCCACGGTTTTGAATGCAGCACTTCCTGTCCCAAAGCTCAGAGACCACACAGTGAGTGTTTCTTCTTCAAGTGATTGTTCATGTCCATTCCAAGCAGGTGTGTGCGCCAGCCGGAAGATTTTGCTATAGCAGCGTCCGTAGGGTCGGCTTCGGCGCCCCCTGCAGAGGCGCCCTCATGGCGCTGTATATAGGGGCCAGCCGACCCTCCACCCCCTCAGTTCCTTCTTACCACCGGTGACGGCTAGCTGGAACTTCGCTTGCTCTTCAGCAATCGTGGCAGTGTTCCGTCGTCGTTGTAAATAGTTAGTTTGTTGTTTAGTGTTAGCTTAGTTAGATAGTAGTTGGGGGCGTTTTCCCCAAGTTTTCGTCGCCCCACTGGGGCATGCCCGGGTCCCCAGGGTTCAAACTCTGCAGGGACTGCGGGAAATTCATGCCGAAGAGTGACCCGCACTCTTCGTGCTTAAGGTGCCTAGGGGAGAGCCACCAAAGAGATAGGTGCAGTATCTGCAGGGCTTTTTGCCCCAGGACTCTCAAAGATAGAGAGCAGAGACTTAAAGTCCTCCTAATGGAGGCGGCCCTGCGGCCACAATCAGATCCCGGGCCTACCGAGACGGCACCCAGCACTTCATCCTCGGTGCGCAGTGCCCCGGCACCGGCGATAAGTCCTGAGGCCAAGGCCCCCAAACCCCAGCACCGGAGAGAATCGGCGCACAAGAAATCAGCCTCGATGAGACACCATTCCCCATCGCTAGTGCCAGTTAAAAAGAAGAGGCCTGTGAGGGAACATTCCCCCCACCGGGACTCTAAGGGGCTGGCGCCGTCCACAAGTGCTACGGGACAGTCCGCGCCACAGACCCATTCAGCCATCCCGTTGACTCCCGCCCCAGAGAGGGTACGGTCGAGTCCGAATAGGCCTAGATCCCCGGATATTATGGAAGAAGTGCGCCTCCCATCGACGCCGGAGGCGTTCGAGGCCACCTCAGACCTCTTGAGCCTCCCGGTGCTGGCGTCGCCGCACCGGTGCAGAGAACCTTCGGCTACCGCTCAACCCCAATTTCAATCTAGGGGCAAACCGGCAATGCTCTCGCCGCGCTCGCCGCGCCACTGTAGTGGCACCGGTGCAGACAGCACCCTCTCCAGTCCGGCAGCACTGGTCCCCGGCGACAGTGGGTACCGCGCCTCCTATGTCCTCGTACTCAGAGACCTCGGACTCGGACGCGGACTCGTACCGCTCTAACAGATCGAGGAGCAGGCGTTCGTCCTCGCATACGAGTACCCAACCGTACCCGCTGCAGTGGCAGCAGCAGTGGCAACCGCCCCCCCCAGTGGCCGTTCTGGACGCCATGGGCCTACCACCAGTCAGTGGGTCAGGCGTATGGACCCCACTCACGAGCTGCATCTGTCTCTTCGACGTCGGCGGCCCCACCGCTAATGCCACCGCCGTCTGACAGGAGTGTGCCACAAAGGGACACGGCACCGCCTAGCCAGACAATGGCACCGACGGGGACCTTGCTCCCAACGCTGCAGGCACCGTCCAGAACGCCTCGTCGCTCGGTGTCGACCCTGGTACTGGCCGCGGTGCCGCATGTTGAGTCCGCACCGGCCGCGCAGCCTGAGTACCGTGTGCCGCAGGCCCTCGTAGAGGGAGAGGGGGTAGATGAAGGCCCTCTTCAGGGGATCTCTTCCTCCTCATCTCCAGATGAGGCAGTAGCGGGAACTTCAGCAGCACTGGCCCTAGAGGACAATAGGATCCTCCAACAGCTGCTTACTCGAGCAGCCCAGAGCCTCTCGATCCAGACTGAGGAGATCGAGGTGGATACAGATCCGGTGGTGGACATCCTGACCCCGTCGGGCCCATCCAGGGTAGCCCTACCTCTCATAAAGACCATTACGGACACAACCCGCAACTTGTGGCAAACTCCAGCCTCATTGGCCCCTACGGCTAAAAGGACTGAGAGGCGATATTTTGTTCCATCCAAGGGCTATGAACATCTTTATACACACCCTCCCCCGGACTCCCTAGTGGTAGATGCGGCCAACCAGAGGGAGCGCCAGGGGTTCCAGGGAGCTACCCCC